GCTTTACTGTGCTGTTGCTAACAGAGTGCTTCCTGCTTTCTCCCTTGCCTACCAGGAGCGATGGGAACAAGAAGGAGGCTGTAATGGTTACACACATGGCAGATGGAAAATGGATGCTAATCTAGACATTAATTAATTTTGTTGCCTTCTTATGCATAACTAGCATATACCATGGCTTTTCTGCTAGGAAAATGGATGTCCTTTAGCCACTCTACAGAAGAAAAAAAATCCTTTTTCACCAAAGGTTAATTAGTATACAGGTGTGATCAGTGGCAGCTCTAATGCTTTTGAGTTGGTGGGGATGTCATCAGAAAATTTTGTATTAGACTGATGTGTATGTATGTGTGCACACAAATAACGCAGCAGAGACTTAATATTAACAAGATAACAATATTTAGTTAATAAAAGTCTGAAAACAGAAAATGCGGATGTTGCCTTGTAAAGGACCTTTTAACTTTCTTGTATGCACTTTTCTAACTCAGATCAATCTGCTACAGCCATGCCCTACTTTGCCAGCACCTGAATGCACAAGGATTCTGCAGTGCATTTAAGGGTTAGCAGAGAAAAAAACCACCACCACCACACTTACCTGTATCAAGTTTTTACGTCCTATAACCTGGTAAGTGTTGCCTCTAACATTACACACCACTTGCTTTTTATCTACAAACCTCTACCTTGCATACGTCTGCCATTGCATGTCACTGCTAAGGCAAGGAGGACGAAGATTTTAGCGAAGTTCATAAAACTCTGTGGGGATGGTTCCAACTATCCCAAACATATGAGGCATCCCTACAGCATGCCTGACCGCCCACATGCCCAGCGAAGGACCTTTATATTTAATAATATTGAGACTGTAGCTTTTTCTGGGAGTTGCTAGAATTCAGTAACTAGTTGGGGCAGCAGAGCTGCAAGTATTTTTAGTTTCCTAGAATATTCTTTGGGCTATTTCAAGCAGTCTGTAATCCAACATCACTGTATATTATAGCAATCAAAGTCCGGCAGGTGAGGATATAAATAAACATGGTTCACAATGTTATTTCTCTAACCAAACTTACTATGATTGTTCAGGAGAGTAATGACTGTGCCAGTGTCAACATACCCTACATATGCCACACTCCAACCTTTCATTTTGTAGTTGTGGAAACTGCGCTTACGGATTACTTAGGTCTTTGGAAGAGTTTTATGGACTTTATTGGTCATGCTTTCTCACGTTATTTGCATATCCTCTTCTAAAAAGTCTCTCGTTGTCTTTGCATAAACATTTATTTAATTTTGCTCAGTACTATTAACAACTAATATATATATGCTGGTGTAATAATTCATGAGGAAGTAATAGATTTGCCCTTGCCTATGTAAAGACTATTTTCCCACTTTGTACATAGGCACTAAGATAAACATTACTAGGGTTTCTTCTACAGTTTGGGTCCATCCCTTTTCTGTAGCAAAAGATCTCATTTATTCAGTCTCAAGTTATTTAATAAATCTTCAGTCTGTCCTTCATATCCTTTATCACAATTGAAATTACATTAAAAAGAGGGAATATAGTATCACAACTTTGTGTAGAACTTTAGATTTAAAAAACATGCTCCTTCACAGAATTAAGCTAATGAATTAGGCAAATGGAAGCATCAAAATATTTGCGTTGTCAAAAATTGATGCAGTAACTAATACTCTTTATTAGGTTCTATTGGTTTGTTTCTTTTACAGGAAACTTGTTTAACTTTGCTGAATGCTTTCAAAGTATTAAAATAGAAAACACAGTATTTTGCTATTTAATACCATATTATTTTTCAGTAGCAATTTTTTCCAGTAGTTCAGAACTGCTCTCTATATAAGAAGAAACATCACATACAGATGTGGAGAGTTGACATCATCCGATAGTGGCTGTATTTCAGCATGTTAAGTCTCCTCTAGCTATAAAAAACTATGAAACACAATTAAGCTGCAGGATGCTGATACACTAGTTTCCCAACCGTTGGCCCCCTCACCCTTTTCCATTTCCCCATAAATACACACTTTAATGCAGCTGGACTGTTGCCCAAGTGCAGTGTTTAGTAAACAAAACAGAACAAAACAAAACACAATATGAAGGTCAATAACACCATTTAGAAAAGGAAACTAAGGAAAACCCTGTTATTGACCACCATTTTGAGAGCTGAGCAGTATCATGTTTGTACTTTAGTAACCAAGTTTAGAAAAAGATATAGTACAATCTCTTAAATTGTGGATTTTAGTTAAACTGTCTTCTATTTTTGAATAAATTTCTGTAAACTTTGTGGTTTTCTAACCCCTTGGCTAGTTTCAGTCAAATTTGGCAAGGAAGCAGACCATATCAGAGACAAAAAGCTTGTGCAAGTATCTAACATGAAAAGCCCCATTCAGCAAACAAATTGAAAAGGATCTGTCTTCCTCTACTGTGGGAAAAGTAAGGAGAAACCAATTCTCAAACAAACCGAGTGGGACAAGGTCCAGGCCACCCAGCAGGTACGTACCAGTCAGTCAAGTCAGCACATGCATAGCTCCAGTCCAGCCGCAGCACGTGACATCTCTTTCCATCCCACAGGCCAAAAACAAGGTATGAAATGAGGATGGGGAGGGTTGGAAGAGGAGGTGAGGAAACAAGGGTGTGGAGCATCTCCCTTATGAGGAAAAGCTGAGGGAGCTGGGTCTCTTTAGCTTGGAGAAGAGGAGAATGAGGGGGGACCTCATTGATGTTTATAAATATGTAAAGGGTGACTGCCATGCGGATGGAGCCAGGGTCTTCTCACTGGCATCCAATAAAAGGACAAGGGGAAATGGATATAAGCTGGAACATAGGAGGTTCCGCTTAAACATGAGGAAGAACTTCTTCCCAGTAAGGGTAACAGAACACTGGAACAGGCTGCCCAGAAAGGTTGTGGAGTCTCCTTCTCTGAAGATGTTCAAAACCCGCCTGGACGCTATTCTTGTGTGATCTGATCTAGGTGGTCCTGCTCAGGCAGGGGGATTGGACTAGATGATCCTTTGAGGTCCCTTCCAATCCCTAACATTCTGTGATTCTGTGATTATCTTGGGGAGAAGAAAGGAATGGCAGAGATTGTAGACATTTAAGAAAGTAAAGGATACAGAGATAAGTGACCATGACTCAGCAAAAGGCAACTTAACTGAAAAATAGACTTGGTTTGTTTAACAGCTTACAGAATTGTATAAAATTCATCATACCTGAGCATGCCACCTGCACACCTGGGGAGAAAGGGACTAGCGTATATTGGCAGAGAGACTGCCCTGCAGAAGCTGTCACTGAAAAAGTGCCTGAAAAGGCTGCAAAGCACTCTGGTTTCTACTTCAGGATTTTCGTGCTTAGCATGAGCAGCAGCTTGACAGAGCAAATCCACGCACACGTCTCCACTTCCCAAAACATACTGTAGCCTCAAAAGAAATTTAGTAAAACCTGGGGGCTGCAGCAGCTCACCGCCCACCGGTTCATGGCACCAGATGTTGGAAGACCCAAAGGAACTGTCGCTGCTGACATTTCAGCATCCAACACAGTAACACGTGCACGTCAGCTACCACCTTGTTCCAAGGCAGAAGGGAACTGGTGACCTGTGACATCAGAGGTACATTCAACACGGCCCAGTAAACTTCCCCATTGTGTTTAGCAGATGCACGCAAGCTCTCCAATGAGCTGTATTTCCTATTGTATGAACACAGTATGTAGAATATCCTTTCAGTAGTTTATCCTACTTTTCCTGTTTTAGGGAGGGGGGGGGGTCAAAACAAACACCTCATCAGTAATCAGATTTGTCATTCAGTTCCTTATCTTCCATCTCATTATTTCTCTGGCAACAGCAGTTACAGCATTTCCTTTACAAATCAGATACCCTGGACAGACTACACGTTTACTTGCTAGCCAATATACGTTACATAGATCACTGAGTGCCAAAGTAAGCTCTTTTATCCGAAGCTCTGGGAGGTGGATAGCCCGTGTAAGTTTGGTCAGCCTCCATGACGGTAAGCAGTAGTTAAGGGCAGAAACAGATTCTAGCTGTGCAACAACTTTCACACCGAATAGCTACGCAACTCATGGTAATGGTGCAATAGCTCTTCCCCAGCTCCACAGCCAGATCCCAAGGCTACCCACCCCCAACCCTACACCAGAGATGTTCTAGATCAGGGGCTTGCTTTATTATAACTACTTACTTAGCATTTGAAAGAGCAGTCCATGCATTCCTGAAATTGCTACATTCGCAGCATGTTTATTTTTTATACAAACAATCCATATTTTAGCATTTTACTCCTGTTGCACATCAAGAGTGGAAAATAGGATAAAGCATACTTTTCACAGCTTTAAGAAAAAATAATCATGCTGTTGAGATATTACATGGCCAATACAAAATTTGTTAATTGCAATTCTAGAATATTTGCACCTACGCCGAGGTTGCTTGCTTTCAGGAAATATTACACTACTGAATTCATAAACATGATAACTTAGCAGATCATCATTATTTCAACATGGAAGAATTAGAAGCTCATTTCGAAGTTTTATTAATTCAAGTCATAAAAAAGTTACAGCAACTTCAAATATGTACAAACAGCCATAAAAGTACAAACAAGCCATAAAAATGCCCTGTCCCGTTATACAGGAGACAGTCTTGTTACAACACGGAGAAAAATCATTATATTCAATAAACCTCTGACAGGGTAAAATAACTATTTAAGCATGTACGCTCCAAAAACCCTAATAACAACAGCTGTCAACTCATTTCATCATCATAAAAAAATTAAAATCAGGGAGCAATAGTGAAGTTGACTTGAGTAAGATGGGGCATTTAAGATTTAACTCTCAACAAATAGTAAAAGTAGTAGCATGGTTACCAGTCTTGGCTGTTAAGAGTTTCAGTAATCATTAAGTGAACACAATTGTCTCCCTCTCAGGGAGAATCTTAAGAGTTTAAGATCCATGCCTCCAATGCTTCTGTTATCTTCTTGTTGGAATCTTGCTCTGTCTTCAGGGGATTTAATTACGAGTTCAGCCCTCTATGCATTTCATTCATTTCCTTTACCTGGAGGACAGGAGGTAGAGCGACATCAACATTTATGCTACTTCTCAACGTGAGACCCAAGAAGTCAATAGGATTAAACAATCCAGATTTTCATTAGCAAAGGGATTTGATGTAACACTAAGAGTCAAACGTGCCAAGACTACTGTAACTCTTCAGCTATATTTTTTTTTTAAAAAAAAAACACACAGTATTCTTTGGGGAGCACGCAGACTTTACCATTTAACTACCACCCCCTCTGGATTCCTTTACAGAAAGCTCTACACTAGGAGTGAAGCACCACGCACTAGTACCATTTGTTACTATTCCATTGGAAAGTAGTTCTTCAATAGAAACTGCAAATACCTCAAGTAAAGGTCTTCAGGAGAGAACAAGGCTATCAGTACTTCCTGTGGATTGCATAGCCCTTGCTATAGATATGTAAAACCAGCACTTGGAGCCTGCACTGCCCCCCACCCCTGGGAAATACAGCAGATCACCAGTTGCCTTTGAAACCAGTGTGGTATGAACACGGTGAACTATACAGAGATGAAAAGTAGTTACAAGATTTGAATATTTTCAGTCTCCTTGAACACATCTGAAGCACCCACAAGCTTTTAACCTAGAGCAAACTCTGGAGTTTTTGGATTCTGACCAACCTCCTCCCCACACACACCCCTTAAACAGAAATTAATTACCTCTGCTTTCACGTACTTCCCTTTCCTCCTCCTTGTGAGGACCTGTAAAACAAGAATAGAATAATTGTGAAGTTTTATTTAAGTCTTGACTTACACATAACTTTATCTGGTTGTGACTTTAAAGCTTCAAACTGTCCCTTCTCCATCCTTCCAAAGCAAGGTAGATGAGAGGCTGTCTGTCACTCGACTACTTTAAACTAAGAAGTTTAAAGACAGGTGCTTTCTTCACCGCAATGAGGTCTTCCTAATATTTTTGTTTCCCACGCAACACCCTTCAGTCGAAACCTGACACGGTGATGGTATGTCCATCACCTCCTAAGTCTCAAAAAAGAAGCCAGTTAGAGAGGACTGTTTCTATGGGAGTCCAGTTACCCTCATATGTTACTATTTCCCAAATTACAGTTTCCTGTTCTGCTTGGCAGCTTTGTTAGAACTTACCAGGACAACAATTGCAGCAACTATTGCTAGTATTAGTACGACAATGACAGCAATGAGGCCGGGAGTCAAAGACTTCATGGTAAACTCCGGTGCTATTTCGTCAACATAGTAGACCACTGTCTTCTCAAACCGAAGCATTTCATTATCAATGCTGACGTTCAGTCTGTTATTATGAAAGATGGAGTCACCTTTTACCTAAGAACAGATAGGGAAGAAAAGAGACCTGCTAGTTCACATTGTAAGAGGCGTTCATCTAGGCACTGCAATAATTCATCTTGCTTTAGCCAGCACACAGCAAGACTACTGAAATGCAACGCAATATACATATCTAGTCTTTGGCAGACTTTACCCATGACACACTTACATCTTTTTCAAAGTAGTAGGCCACGTCGGCTATATCCACATCTCCAGAAGATTTGTCTGACGAATTTTGCTTCAAATCAATAGTAATGTAAGGTTTTTCATACTGCAAAAAACATAGCACGGTATTAAGAAGGGGCTAGTTCACACACCACTATCAAATACACAGCAAAATATTATGATCTGACTTGTGAACTCACATCCTGAATCAAGTTTATGGTACTTGCTCTCAAGTTAACTGTTTACAGTGTGATTCAAATTCCACTTTTTTAGTGAAGCAAAGTAAGAATTTATCTACAGACCGAGGACAGCAATATGTAATTTCTCAGTGTTTCAGTTCAGATGCAGCTATTTGGTAACTGCTCAGTAAGTGTCACTATTTTGAGAGCTTTAATAAGACTTATGCTGTACTGCATTAATCAAACAAGAGCTGTCGAAGTTATTAACAACAAAATAAAATTCTGATATTTTAGTAAGAATTATGTGCCTCTTACCAGAACACTACTTATATAGCGTCCATCCAGCATATAACGTTTGGTGATTGTGTCCTTGAAGAACCTGTAAGGATATTAAAGCCATAGCTGTTAAAAGCAGTAGTATTTTACACATCTGTTTTCAGAAGTTGGGAAGACTAGTACAATTGTTTTTCTTCCTGCAGTCTCTCGGTGGTGGGTTGACCTCAGCTGGCAGCTAAACCCTCACCTAGTCACCTATTCACTCACTTCCCCCTAGCAGCATTGGGAATAAAATCAGAAGGACATCTGATTCTTGCAATCAAAAGCAAGGAAAAAACCCTCTCATGGATCAATATAAATACAGTCTAATAAGCAAAAAGGTTGGGTGGGGGAAATTAAAAACCCCAAGTGATACAAAAGCAATGACTCACCGCTAGCAGATCGAGGCCCAGCCAATCACTGAGCAAGAGCTGCTTGGTAAAAACTTCTCCTTAGAAGTTTTCATTGCCGAGCACAACGTTATAGAATATGGGCTATCTCTTTGGTCAGTTTGGGTCAGCCATCTCTGCTGTGTCCCCTTCCCAACCTCTTGCCCACCCTAACCTACTCACTGACATGAGTCTGAGAAGGCCTCCACACTATTTAAGCACTGATCAGCAACAGCTGAAACACTGGTGACTTTTCAACACTGTTTTGGTCACCAGTCTAACACACAGCACCATACTAACTGCTACCAAGAAAATTAACTCCATCCCAACCAAACCTAGTACACTCTCATTATTAAATTAACACTACAGCTCTGTTAATTCCTAACAGTGAAGATGTACTTAATGAAAAATAAACATATACATTACTAGAGCATTAGAAATAAGAGTCTGAAGAGTTCAGAAGAGGAGCTACAGAGTAGTGGCTTTTGTTCCACTATAGAGGGAGGGGATCAAATATCTACAAGCACATTTTTCTGCCTATAGGACTTCTGCCAGAGGAAAGCAGGATTTTATTTTAGTCAAAAAATAGCTACTAAACTGTAGGTTTTCTCCTGCTGCTTCTATGCAGTCCCTTCACCATCTTTGTCGGTTTACTTTTTGGGCCGTTTCACCTTATTACTTTACATTTTCTTCAGAATACTGACTTGATTAAAAAAAAAAAAATAAAGTAGTGATCAATTTTTAAATGGAAGTGAATATCATCAGCAGTTAATTTATTTCCAATAAAAATTAAAGCAATTCTAGGAAGGATCTGTAAATCACTTCTAAGATGTCTTACAAAAGAGTTCACAGGTTTGACGATGCTTTTAAACAATTGTTTAGAAATACACTGAACATCTAATTGTGCATGCAGACACTGCCCTGACATTTTACTATCATCACTTACTTCTTTAAAGATTCAGTGTTCAGAGGAGCGTCTCTGTCAGCATGTTTCATTTCAATGATGATCCACCTGAAGTAATAAGCAAGAACAATGAATAGTCTTAAAGCATGTGCATATAACACGACATACTAAAAATGTAACCCCAGGGGAAAAAAAAAAACAACAAAGAGAGAAGTGAGAGAAAATCAAAGAAAGCCCCCTCCAACACCCTTCAATGTCTTCCTTGTTTCTGAGGAAAAAAAAAAATAAAAATCTAGTAATCAAGTGTTTATTGCTCCATCTTCATTCATCCCCAGCAGATCAGTCGTACAGATAAATCCTCTACAATGCAGAACCTAATACAGGAATGTTTCCATGTCCCAGCACACCCTGTTGAAAGACTTACGTCGTTCTGACTAACTGATTGCACTTCAAGTCTGCATCATGTTTGTCCGTTCTTCTAACACCAGCTGTATTCACACACCAACAGGTGGTTCCATTGCACTGCTTCGCCTTGAAAACACCAGTATTTTCACACTCAGGATCATAAAGGCCATCTGTATCTTCAAATGCTTCTTTTGGTTTCTCACGACGACCTGATTTTGAGCCCGTCACTTCTGCTTTCATCAACAGGCATTTTGAAGTCACTAAAAATAACCAGAAAGTCACGTTACGCAGCATCAGACCACGCACGTTCAAAACAAAGTTCTTAGTCTGTGAAAACAAAAGGTTACGTCAGAAGCAACCAGATTCGAAGCCATTACAAGGAAGAGCAGTGTCTAACATGTAGGTGGTGCACAAAGTCAACGCAACTGGGGTACGTCATCTTCTCCAGGCAAAGGTGTTAAGCCCAGCCACCTTCCACTTCTTACAGCCAGAGGGTCATGCAGAGCTTAGCTGAGCTTGAACCAAGAGTAAGGTCCCGAGACAAGGCTCTTTCACCTCTGGATTTGCAGGAAAAGTCACAATACATGCTTACAAGGAAGCTGAAAATGAATCTATGAGAAATCCTTGCCATTAGAGAGCAAATATAAAGGAGGAGGGGGGAGCCCGCATCAGCACAAGCACACGCACATCCACACAAGTTACACAGGAGGAACCCCAAGCGCTTATCTTCCACGGCCAGTTGACCTGGAAGACCAGGAAGACACTGTCCTTCCTTGCCGGGAACTCAACGGTCGTTTTCACATATTCCCTTGCGTTTAGTCGGCACTTTTCCTTGCCGCCCGGTACCGAAGCGCGCAGCCAGGCCGAGCGCAGCCGACACGCGTGCTTTACTCACGAGTGTTGCAGTTCACGGACACGCCGGAGCCCACCGAGTCGCACCAGCAGACGCCGTCGACCCGCCGGCAGTTGGTGACGCGCTTGTTCTTCTCGCAGACGCACGCTGGAGGGAGGAGAAGCGCGGCTGTGAGCGCGGACGCCCCCGGGGCGGTAGCTGGGCACCCCGGGGCGCCTGTATCCCGCCGCTTCCCACCTCGCCACCCCCCCGTCCCCTAGGAAGGGCGAGAACG